TTTTGTGTATAAGAAATGACAGGCATACTTGATTCTTCTGTGCTTTCCTTTATTGTGTTTCAGATATTACATTTTTTTTACAAATTGAATGGTTGTGGTAACCCTGTGTGGAGCAGATCTACTGGCACCATTTTCCAACAGCATGTGCACATTTCGTGTCTCTGTTATATTTTGGTAATTCTCACGACATTTCAAACTTTTTCATTATTTTTGTATCTGTTGTGGGTAATCTGTGATCAGTGATCTTTGACATTACTATTGTAATTGTTTTGAGGCACCATAAACTGTGCCCATAGAAGATGGCAAACTTAATTGATCAATGTTGTGTGTATTCTGACTACTCTATTGAGTGATGGAGTGATTCCCTACCTCTCTCCCTCTCCTTGGGCCTCCCTATTTCCTGTGACACAACAATGTTGAAATGAGGCAAACTAACAGCCCTATGATAGCCTCTAAGTGTTCAGGTGAAAGGAAGAGCCACACATCTCTCAGTTTAAATCAAAAGCTAGAAATGATCAAGCTTAGTGAAGAAGGCATGTTGAAAGCTGAGACAGGTCAAAAGCTAGGCCTCTTGCACTAAACAGACAAGCTGTGAATGCAAAGGAAAAATTTGTGAAGTAAATTAAAAGTGCTACTCCAGTAAACACATGAATGATGAGAAGGTAAAACAACCTTATTGCCAGGCATGGTGGCTTATGCCTGCAATCCCAGCACTTTGGGAGGCCAAGATGGGAGGATCACTTGAGCTCAGGAGTTCAAGACCAGCCTGGGCAACATAGTGAGACTCTATCTCTAAAAATAAATAAATAAAAACAGCCTTATTGATAATATGGAGAAAGTTTGAGTGGTCTGAATAGAAGATCAAACCAGCCACAACACTTCCTTAAGCCAAGGTCTAATCCAGAGCAAGGCCCTAACTCTGTTCAAGTCTTTGAAGCTTGGGAGAGGTGAGGAAGCTGCAGAAGAAAAGTTGGAAGTCAGCAGAGGTTGGTTATTGGGGTTTAAGGAAAGATGCCATCTCCATAACATAGAAAGAAGTGCAAGGTGAAGCAATAAGTGCTGATGGAGACACTGCAGCACGTTACCCAGAAGATTGAGCTTAGTTAAGGGTAGCTACGCTAGACAGCAGATTTTCAGTTGATGAAACAGCCTTCTATTGGAAGAAGATATCATCTAGGACTTTCATAGCTAGAAAAGTTGGTACCTGGCCTCAAAGCTTCAAAGGACAGGCTGACTCTCATGGTAGGGGCTAATGCAGCTGGTGACTGTAAGTTAAAGCCCATGCTCATTTACCATTCTGAAAATCCTGGGACACTTAAGAGTTATGCTGCCAGACACAGCAGCACACGCCTGAATCCCAGGATGGGGAGGCTGAGGCAGGAGGATCACTTGAGCCAAGGAATTTCAGACCAGCCTGGGCAGCATAGCAAAACTCCATCTCTACAAATAATTAACAAAATTAGCCAGTTGTGGTGGTGTTTACCTGTGGCCTCAGCTTCTTGGGAGGCTGAAGTGAGAGGATCTCTTGAGCCTGGGAGGTCAAGGCTGCAGTGAGCTGTGATCATACCACTGCAACACTGCAATCCAGTGTGGGTGACATAGTGAGACCCTGTATCAAAAACAAAACAAAAAGAAAGAATTATGCTAAATCTATCTGACTCTGTTCTATAGATGGAAAAACAAAGCCTAGCTGATAGCACATTTGTTTACAGCATGGCTTACTAAATATTTTAAGCCCACTGTTGAGACCTACCACTTGGAAAACAAGATTCCTTTCAAAATATTACTGCTCATTGACAGTGCACCTGGTGACCCAAGAGCTCTGATGGGGATGTATAAGGAGATCAATGCCATTTTCATGCCTGCTAATACAACATCCATTCTGCAGCCCATGGATCAGAGTCATTCCAAATATTATTTAAGAAATACATTTTGTAAGGCTATAGCTACCATCAATAGTGATTCCTCTAATGGATCTAGGGAAAGTCAATTCTGGAAAGGGCTTACCATTCTAGATGCGAGTAAGAACATTTGTGATTCATGGGAGGAGTTCAAAATATCAACATTAACAGGGATTTGGAAGAAGTTGATTCCAACCCTCATGGATGACTTTGAGGTGTTCAAGACTTCAGTGAAGGAAGTAACTGCAGATGTAGCGGAAATAGCAAGAGAACTAGAATTGGAAGTGGAGCCTGAAGATGTGACTGAATTGCTGCAATCTCATGATCAACCTTGAATGGATAAAGAGTTACTTCTTATGGATGAGCAGAGAAAGTGGTTTCTTGAGATGGAATGTACTCCTGGTGAAGATGCTGTGAACATTGTTGAAATGACAACAAAGGATTTAGAATATTACATATGCTTAGTTGATAAAGCAGTGGCAGGATTTGAGAGGATTGACTCCAGTATTGAAAGATGTTCTACTCTGACCAAAATGCTATCAAACAGCATCGCATGATACAGAAAAATTTTTCATGAAAGGAAATCAATTGATGTGGCAAACTTCATTGTTGTCTTATTTTAAGGAATTGCTACAGTTACCCCAACCTTCAGCCACCCTCACCCCGATCAGTCGCTGTTGTCAACATTGAGGCAAGACCCTCCCAAGTACGAAGTTTACAACTTGCTGAAGGCTCAGATGATCATTAGTTTTTTCTAGCAGTGAAGTATTTTTAAAGTACGAACATTGCTTTTTTAGACATACTGCTATTATACACTGCATAGACTACAGCAGAGCATAAACATAACTATTATATGCACTGGGAAACCAAAATATTCCTGTGATTCACTTTATTGCAGTAGTCTAAAACCAAGTTTGCAATATCTCCGAGATATGCCTGAACTCTGATTTCGAGGTAAAGGAAGGTTAACTAGCAGAACCTCACTGATCCTTTTGTTAGGTAAACACACATCTGTCCCCAGTCTTATTAACACAATGACAGAGAAGGGAGGAAGAAAAAGAGTGGAGAGCTAGAAGAGGCTGGCAAAAGGGGAAAGAATAATGTGAGACCATGAGGCAGAAACACATCTATCCCATGGAGCGCCTGTGTGTAAGGGCTGGTGGTCCTTAGAGCAGCTTGCTTTCTTTATTTTAATAAAGTATATTTCTCTGTACTCATAGAGACAATACAGAAAAAACATTAAGAATGACACGCACACACGCACATGTATGCACCCAGAATCTGAGATCACGGCTTTAAATTTCTTTCCTCTCTTTCTGTGTATGTTGCAGCCTAGTTGAGCTCATACTGTAGCTGCAATTTGATACCCTTTTTTTCAGCTTTAACACAACACAGTCCCCTGTGCTTTTTTAAACTCCTTGTGTGTGGTTTCATGGCTGTGTGATGATTTGTCATGTGGATATTTTCTGACAAGATGGACTCTTCATGGTGGCTAAGAGTACGCCTGTGGATCAGACAGCCCTGGGCTTGATGCCTAGCCATGCCCCACCCCGCTAACCCCTTTTACTAGTCTGGTGACCTCAAGAAATGACTTCATCTCTGGAAGCCTCAATTATTTCATCTGCAGAATGGGTATCATAATTCACAGATTAAACAAATCAGTGCTTACTGACTTCTGCTTATGAATTTAAATTCTCCTAAGAGGGAGGTCATAATATCACCAATTAGAGATGAGAAAGTTCAGCTCGGTGAGGTCACTTGCCCCATGTCCGTGGGTAATAGTGGAAAGAGCCAGGATTTATAATGACAGTAAAGTTCTGAACTCCCCCATCCCTAGCCCATACCTAATGCAATAACTTGGCTTGAATCACCCAGCTGGTAAAAAACAAAGCTGATATGTTATTGAATCCAGAGCCTACATGCTATGATGCCCCCTAATATTCTCTGGGTTTTATTTAATACCATTTCTTTCCTTGTCACAGTGCTGCATCGGGCACTGATGGGTTAGGGCTGGTGATGGGCAAGTGCTTTGGCTAGTCCCTATGGTAATAGTAATGTCACAGTAATACATTTTCAGAGAGCAGAAGAGACTCCATGGAGCTTTTTAAAAACCACAACTATATGATGCCCAGAGAGGATGAGAAGTGTCGGCAGTGATGTGGATCTTCTGCTCAAACCCTCCCCATTCCCTCCCTCCCTCCCTCCCTCCCTCCCTCCCTCCCTCCCTCCCTTCCTTCCTTCCTTTTGATGTTGAGATGGTTCTCCCTTTGCCCTCGGTCCCCCTTCCCCCTAAAACAGCTGTCAAAGAACAGTACCCTGGCTGGATTTTCTGGCCACAGAATAACTTGCCAAGTCCAGCCTGATCATCTCCCTCCCACAGTCAATCCTGGATAACAAGAAAATGATGGCTACCCTGGAACCAGTTCAGGGATGTATGCCGTTGATTGCGTTGCTGCCTCCATCACCTACGGAGTGACGGGGTGTGAGAAAAACAAATCACGGCTGATATGCAAAAAAAAACAAAACAACAACAAAAAACCCCTCTGTTCCAGTTTATTGGTTGTACAATGAGTCTGTGGGGTGTCTAACAAATGGCCTGCCAGACTCGGTTTAGGAAGGGCAGAAGGCTTGTAACCTGATGTGGCTGCAACAGGCCATTAGCCTGCATTTTGTTGAAGGTCCTACATCCAGAGCAGATTTGATTTTGAATCTTTACAGTGACTCTTTTCGAATTGCATGATTATTCAGCAGATTAAATCTTAATTGCAAATGCAGCTTCAGCGTAGGAGTACCATTGTGCTTGCTGGTTTCAGGCCATTTTTGCTGAGCCGTGCTTTTCCAGAAGGCTGTTACAAATTTAGAAAGGGGGAAATGGCGTTTCATTTGTCGATGGGAGCTTTGTTTTGCCGACTGGATTTATTTTAGTGTTTATTTAGAGGTGCCAAAAACTGACGTCCCTGGAGAGCGAATTGCTCAATTTCTTTGGAGAGGTTCTCTAAATTGTCCAAACTGCACATAGAAAACAATGTCTATGGTCCTTCTGTGAGAGGATAGGCTTGCCAACAATCTCATGTGGTATAATTTTGATTAATTTTTCAGAGACCAAAGAAGCCACCACCTCCATCCGCTCCTGTCATCAAACAAGGGGCAGGTAACGTACCTTTCAGTTCCATCAAATAAAATGTGAGTCTTTCTTTTTGCATATATTCAAATTATCCTCAGTGTAGAGTTCAGGATTCTTGATTGAAGTGCCATATATTGACAACTTGGGAAGTTAACGATTTGATCTCAGCAGGCAGGTTTTAAAGATACTTCTGTTTTTCCTGAAAGATAAACATACCATTAAAATGTAACCCTGGTATAGTGTAAAAATCTAGGCTTCCAAAGAGGATGATCAGAAAGAACTTTTAAAAAAACAAGTTTGGGTTTTTAAAATAAACAGCTTTTGTGGCGAAAAGAACTTAATTGTCCTGTTTCACCCATGGGTCATAGCATTGTTGTGCATGTACGGTGTTGCTGAATTTTCAGTCTCTGTTTCAGGTGGTTAACCAAATTTGTAGTGACTTCACTTACCCCCCAACAAAAAGATGTTTTTCTAGCAATAAATACTTTTTCTCATGGTTCTTTTTTAATGTTGCAAAGTCTAATTGACTTTTTTCTGTGTAGTTCAGCTATTCAGGTTAAATGATATAGGAAGACTTGATATTGGACATTTGGTAGCTCGTTGCACACTGGATTCTTGTATATACAAATCGTATTTCATATTTCCCAATAGAAGTCCTCTTTATAATTGTTAAAATTAATTATAGGGAAATATTCCTCCATGAATAATTAGTTAAGTGGCATTTAAAAAATTAACAACAAAAATAGAAGAAAAGGAATATTTGTAGTTCTGTATATTCACAATTACGACATTTCTTTAACAGTTAAATTATAAATAAATTTCCAGATTGGTTTATTTATAAAGTTATTAAGAAGTGATTTTTAAGTTCTTTTGGCTCACCAAGTTAGGGAGAGAAACTTGACCCCAAATTCCTTTTCCATTCCCTTTGGCATAATTGAGAATTACAGAGATTAAGCCCTGAAATAGGATGTTAATTACATTTTGCTCAGCCCCCATCCTTGTTTGCATTGAGCAGTTTCATTTTGCCACCTAGTGGTTCTGGCCGTATATTTTATTGTGTTGAAATTGAAGCAAGCTATTTATTTGCTTTTCTCTGAAGACCCCTTTCCCTATAGGCCTTGGTAATTAATCAGAGACTGTGGAGATTAGTTGAGGAGTCCAAGGCTCAGGCAATCTAGAATGTAGCTAAGATTGGATTCTTCAATATAGTAGGATTGTCAGTTCTTCCTGTGTCTCTAGGAATAATACTGACTTCATTATTGTTAGGAGACTAGACTGTAGTATGGTAGGCAAATTCTTACCCTTTTAAAACAATTTTACCAAAGTTTATGATGGGTCTCTGTGGGGCAAAGCAAGATGGCGTTTAATCTTCATCGATTACTGCTCATTTATCCTGCTTGAATGATCTTGGGAACTGCTTTGTAATGGAGAGGTAGATATTCATGTTTTCTCCATCATCAGCTTTCCTTGTGTTTGATTATTTGATCAAAAAAATCAGATATGAAATTGACAGAAATGAGATGTGGTATTTAATTTGTAGTGAGACATTAAGAGGATTTAAATAAAGGGTGTGTTTGGTGGATTTTTTTTTTAACTTCTTTTGCCCTCTGAGATTGGATAATTGAGATTTCCAATACCAAGCACCCATCTATGGAACTGGTCATGTAAAGAGTTTGTTAAGAACTCAACCCAGTCCATACATAAGAGGAGTACTTTTGACTGATTTGTGCTTTAGCTATTTCTCAAGTGCTCTTACATGCCTGAGGCCACTGGCACCAATGAGAAAACCCCAGGTAAGGGAGCAGCTGCAGTCCATGTGGGTAAAGACTAAGTGCTAAGTGGTACATATGAAAAAATGTAATACTTAAAGGACCCCAAATCTAATGGCATAAAACAACCATCTTCTTATATTCACAGATTCTGTGGGTCAAGAGCAGGCCATAGCTGAGATGGCTTGTCTCTGCTCATATCTGGGACCTCAGCTGGGAATACTGAACTAGCTGAAGCTGGAGGATCTGTTTCGAAGATGAATGTTTCCCTCACATGTCTGGCTCCCCTTGACAAGGGTAGCTGGAAAGCTGGACTCAGCTGGAGCTATAGGCTGGAGCATCTATACGTAGCCTCTCCAGGGTAGTTAACTCTTAGATGGAGGTTCAGTATTCCAGCAAATAAAGCATAAACTACAGGACCTTTTATGACTTGGCTTTGGAAATTACGTAGTACCATTCCTGCCACTGATCGAGGTAGTCACAAGCCCACCCACATTCCTGGCAAGGGGATGTAGACTTCACCTCTTATTGAGAAGAGTGTCAGATAATTCCAGGCCCTATTTTAAAATGGCTACAAAATGGGATCCAGATTCCTATGAAACCCCCTTTTTTTGGTAGAATATAACATTCAGTGGCCCCTTATTTGATAATTGACATTTATTTATTTATACACATTCTCTGCCCCAACCTAGTGATTTCCTGTGACTATTTTGATGCCTAAGGAAATCAGGCTTAAATATCAGAAAATATTAGTGGTGGTCTTATAAATTAAGGATACATAGGCAGGTGAATTTAATGACATAGGCCAGTAATGACCTCTGCTCTCTGTTTCTAAACAGCTCCTATTTGCCAGGTAATGCTGACAACACCCAACTTGGGAAAAAAACTTACTGATTTGCTCTACCTGATAAATATTTAAATGCTGGTGTGTCTAATAAATGAATAGAGAAAACATTTTCTGATCACTATTACCCTTCCCCTCCTAGGTACCACTGAAAGAAAACATGAACTTAAAAAGATACCTCCTGAAAGACCAGAAATGCTTCCCAACAGAACAGAAGAAAAAGGTATGAAAGCAATTCTTAATTGACACTTCTAGAACAGCAAGAGCTGAAGCTGTCTGTTACATGGCTAGTCCAGAATACCCACAGAATTTGCTTTTTCTTTGGAATATGCTGATCATGGTTTTGTTTTGATTGCTTTTACAAATCCTATTGCTAAGAAAGTAGGAGAGGGTTATGTGGTACTTTGTGGGACCAGAATTTCTCATCAAATGAAAAATAACCAGCCTAGTCAGTTAACACATTGCTTCTATTTCATGATGTCTCTACCATGGCCACCCTTTCCACACCTCAAAGTTGGGTTTAAGTTCCTTTAGGGCCTAGTGTAAATCTGTCATTTTCTACTTAGCCTGTCTTTCATGCCTAGTGTCCCAAGGTGCTTGTTTGCTGTTGGTAGATGGATTTGGCTTAGTGAAATTCACATCTAGAGAAATAAACAAATGAAAGCTCTTTTCTTTGGTCACTGATGGACCCTTGACTCTGGCTAATGTTATTACAGACAGATGTCCTTGGTCAAGGATGTTGGAGGAGGTGGGGTGGCATGGTAATACTGGGAAAACCAGCTCGGTCCCTGGAGTCTCCTGAAGGTGGTCAGGAGTGTCATTGGCAGGGAAGTAGCTTAATGTGTGTCCTGCAGTCAAGTTTATGAACGTGTTTCACTCTTACCATTTTGAGAGTCTCTCTCAAAGAAATCTGTATACTGTAGAAGGACTCATTTTATTAGGTGTCTGGGATTTGATTGATCACACATTTTTATGGGAAAAGTGCTACGTTATTATTATGAACAGGAGGCTGAGCAAATTCCATTTTAAAAAGCAGTTATTTTTAAGTCACAAGAGAAATGCTGAATTAATGAATGTAATTATTTGGAGGCGCTCCTTGGTGGCCTCATGAAATTTTATTGTGAAATTTAATATTTCATATCAGCCTGCCAAAAATTTTACCAACATTGTAAGCTCTTAAGAAGCTATACCTCTTTCTTTCACAGTGAGCAGTTAGAATTTGAGTTGTGGAACCTCATTGTGAAGGCCAGGTCTATGTCACAGATTGATGGAGAAAACAGCCATAGAGTATATACCATGTGAATAACTCTGATATAAAAGCATTGGTATGGCCAGGTGCAGTGGCTCACATCTGTAATCCCAGTGCTTTGGGAGGCCAAGACGGGAGGATTGCTTGAGCACAGGAGTTCAACACCTGCCTGGGCAAAATAGCAAGACCCTATCTCTACCAAAAAAAAATTTTAGCCAGGCCTGGAGGCCTACATCCATAGTCCCAGCTACTTTGGGAGACTGAGGTGAAAGGATCACTTGAGTCTAGAGATCAAGACTGCAGTGAGCTGTAATCTCACTACTGCACTCCAGCCTGGACAACAGAGTGAGACCCTGTCTCAAAAAAAAAAAAAAGTGTGGTGTGAAATAACCAGACACCACCCTCTGTCCTCATAGAGGATAGATAACTAGTTTCTGGGTAATAGCCAGGCTCTGTGATGGGGACACTTCCTGCACTAGTCCATGCTGACATACAGACTAGGCTTACATGTGAACAACCACCCTAGTTGGCTGACCAAGTGACCCCCTATTGCTGGTTCCTTTCCCTCCCATGATCCCTTGTTCTATGCCACAGTGGGTCAGGGAGGCAAAGGTCTGGTCAAATGCAATAGGGAATCAGCCCTACCTAGAGACTTGGTCTCCCTGTAGGGTCAGCACAAATTCCCTTTTCCATTCGTCCTGCAGGCTGCTAGAGTTCCTGTCCCTTTCCTACTGCTGCAGGAGAAATGCCCCCTGCTTTGCATTTCAGCAGAGCCCTTCTTCCTCTGGCCGCTGTGTGCCATAAAATGAGTTCCCAGCTTTCCTGATTGGATCATATTTCCCCACATTGTGGGGATGAGCACAGTAATACCTGATGGGATTATTTTAATGTTTTTTTTTTTTAGAGACAGGGTCTTGCTCTGTCACCTAGGCCGGAGTGTGGTGGTACGATTGTAGCTCACTGCAGCCTCAAACTCTTGGGCTCAAGCAATTCTCCTGCCTCAGCCTCCAAAGCTGGAACTACAGGGACAGGACATGCCACCATGCCCAGCTAGTTTTTTTGTAGAGATGGGGTTTTACTGTGTTGCCCAGGCTGGTCTCAAACTCCTGGCCTCAAGGGATTCTTCCTCCTTGCCCTCCCAAAGCTCTGGGATTACAGGTATGAGCCACTGCATCGAGCCCCTATGAGTTTTTTTTAACCTTTTGCCAACCATCTGGGCACCCAAACAACATGAGTCTGTGTTTGCAAGTAAAAGGTGTCCTGAGTACCATCTTACAAGTAAGCATAGGGAGCTTGCCTGCAGTCCAATGGGCAACTCTTTGAAGTTCCATCTTTATCAAGAAGAATGTGGATGTATGCTTTTTATACCACACACAGGGCAAGGCTAGTTGGGAACAGAAAATAGGAGGTCCTCACTCAAAACTGCCTCGTTCAGCCAAAAGATCTGGCTTCAACTTCATTCTAATAGTTCTGACTCCAAAAAGCCTTGGAAACCATATACCTGTAAAATCCTAGTTTACCTTCCATGTTCAAACTGTACACAAGAAGAATCCAGAAGTCATTGTTTTCCAAAATGCTCCTCCTTTTATTAGCTCACTGCCCGTTTCAGAGACCAGCCTGAGACATGTCAGGCCTCTTTCCTTTGCATACCCAGCAGGTCCCATGGGCCACTGACCAAACCCCTCAGCCCTCTACTGAGCACTGGCTCCATGCCACTACCACATATGGCTCTGAGGAGATGGCCAGACATGGGCCCTGCCCTCAAGGGCTGTCAGCCTACAGGCTGTGCCAAACATGCAAACACCCAGAAAGTGTCTGAGTGTGTTTGTAAAGCGCTGCCCTGTAATGCTCAGGTGAGGAAGGAAGGAAGTCTGTCTTTGAGCTGTTAAGAAGTGAACATGACAGTGTCAGGTTTCAGCCAGGCTTCCAAGGAAGAGCTGGAGTATGCTGAGGGTGGGGGGTGGTCAGAAGGGCGCTTCAGGTGGAAGGACCCACATGAGTGAAGGTGAGCAAGGGAGGGAGCGGTGAGCTCTGTGAGACTTCTGCTAACCTGACAAAGAGTAAGTGGTGCTCTTGGCCTTCCATATTCGCCTTCAGAGATGGCATCAGTGATTTTTCTTTTAGCAGGAAATGAGTAATCTACATCTAAGTACTGTCACTTACACTAGATCTGTTTTCTTTAAACAATAATTTAAAGAAAGACCAGAGAGAGAGCCAAAACTGGATTTACAGAAGCCCTCCGTTCCTGCCATACCGCCAAAAAAGCCTCGGCCACCTAAGACCAATTCTCTCAGCAGACCTGGTGCACTGCCCCCAAGAAGGCCAGAGCGACCGGTGGGTCCGCTGACACACACCAGGTACTGCTGTGCTCTCACCGCCTGGGGCGGGTGTGGGGCGGCTATGGAAGGAACACAGGAGGGGAACTGACTGCCATAGACCTCAAGAGGAAGGGAGAGGAGAAGGGGGCCCTCAAGCTTCCCTCTTACATCCTCCAGCAAAATTATCTGAAGACACTGGCCACTTCTGTCCTTGCTTTTGCACTCGGGCAGAAGTGAGTGCAAGGTTGAGGGATGGGGTGTGGGTTTCAGGATTAGCAGATGAGGACTGGTTACCCAGCATTTAGACCTTGCTCACACATAGAGATTTTCCCTGGGCTTCATTAGAAGCAAGGCCAACTGCCCTTCAGCCTGGAAATGCAGGTGGCATGTTCCTCTTTGTCCCTCTGGATGTTGTGCTGGCCTCAAGTGTGTACATCTCACATGTGGCTACAACCCCGACCCTCTCACTGCTCTGCAGGGCTTCTTTTCACACCCCAGGCTCCCTCTGCTCTTCACTGTACAGCCTATTGTGGAACCCAGAGCTGGGAATGTCTCTGAGTTTTAAGACCCTCAAAGGCTGGGACATGCTTTATGCAGGCATGTGTTCTGAGATGTGCTTGACAGAACGAAAATTGATTCGCCAGCTGGCTGGATACATGTGTTCCATGAAATCAGAGTTGGACATTGTGTGTTCCAGACCTGAGATACTTACCACAGAGCAAGGAACTGTTGAATTTTCTCCGTAAGTTCATTGCCAGAACTTTCTACCATAATATTAAAATATATATTATACATGTTGGTGTAACACACCAGGGCAGGTCAGTGACCCAGAGGTATTTAGATGTACATATCAACACACAGTCACTGAATTTTTGTTCTTATGAGCTAAGTTGGCATGGTGAAAGTCGCATGAGTTTCAGAGCTCTTGTGTTAGTCAGACAAGCCTCCGGACTGGAATCTCAGCCCACCTCATTCATAGGAGGAGTAGGAGCTTGGCTACACTGTCCTTTCACCTCGCTTTCTTCATCTGTAAATAGAAGATGATAATGGAATGCACCTAAATAATTCTCAAGTATGCAAATCAGCATTATTTTCATTGTTATATTGATTATTGCCTATTGATTTAGGCATGCTGCAGTAAGACAAGAAGAGCTAATTTCCTTTTTTTAAAGACAAATTTTAATTAGTGGTAAAATACACGCAGTGTTAAAATTACCATCCTAACCATTTTAAGTGCACCATTCAGTGGCATTAAGTTCACATTGTTGTACAGCCATTTCCAGAACTCTTTTCAGCTTGTAAATCTGAAATTCTGCACCCTTTAAACAGTGACTCCTCATTTCCCCCCTTTCCCAGCCCCTGGTAGCCACCATTCTACTTTCTGTCTCTATGGATTTGACTACTCCAGGTACCTCAATAAGTGGAATCATATAGGATTCATCCTTTTATGACTGGCTTATTTCACTTAGCATGATGTCTTCAACATTCATCCATATTGTAGCATGGCTTAGTTGCTTTTCTTAACAATGACAACAACAAAAGTACAATCCCTAGGCTCAAGTATAGAGGCAGATGGCAATGTGGGTGTGTGGGAGGCTGGCTGCCCAGTCCATACAGAGCTGTGGTCATCTCAGGTGCATGTGAACCCATTTGAGTAGCAGCTGGTTCACCTGTGTCATTCTACAAGCATCTCCCAAGGACCAATCTAACAACTGCCTCCATGTGATACCTCCTGTTGAATTGGTGAGGCCTCTCCGTATTGCACCCTCTCCTATGGACTGACAATAGAAGGTTCTTTGCACACACGAATACTGGGGCCACTTGACAGTCCTGATAAGGACCATTTCAGTGGTGTGGTCAGCCCAGAAGCTAGTATATCAGAAGAAAAAGCTTAGGTAAAGCAAAGTGCTTCTGAAAAGAACATGAGCTATACAAATGGGGAAGATGTGGAGCAGAAAAGGTTGCACATCACTTTGTGGTTGGTGAAAGGAGAGCCGAAGAAGACACACCCTGGAAAATTCTATTAGTCTCTCGGGCTACATACATTTCCGTTAGCTCAATAACAATTTCCTAAATATTCCAGCTGCTATTTCTAACAATCTTATTGGAACAGAAATGGAATTTCAACGGCCACTTTGCCTTCTAGAGTTGCTGGCAACTCTCTGGTTATAGGATAGGTATAGGCTTTGCAAGCCTGAGGGTAACATGTCATCACCACCAAACTTCTGCGCTCACAGAGGTTAATTTGCCTCCCTCCTCTGCTTAGCTTTTCTCTCCCTCCGGGCCTCCCAGTATCCAGTTGTTAGAAGTCCAGGCCATGAAGGCAGATGCATGAGAGAGGTTTGTGAAGCCAGTGGAAGATGTAATTGTTCTTAACAGTGCATGCCTTCTGAGCAGTCTGGGAGATGGTGGTCAGCCCCCAGCCTCCACACACTCCATGGCTGCCTAGCTCCCGAGACACTGGTTTGCAGGAGGGTGAGAGGGAGGAAAGCCCTGAGATTCTTGCTTAGTCAGTTTAAGGGAGGGCAGCGCCTGCTCTACCTCAGTGGTTCTCAGACTTGAGCGTGCCTCCGAATCACCTGGAAAACTTGTTCAAAACAGATCACTGGGTGCTATCCCCACAGTTGCTGACTCAGTAGGCCTCGGGTGGGCCTGAAAATTTCCATTTTTAAAAGTTGCTGCTGCTGCTGCTGGAATCCACACCATGAGAGCCATTGCTCTAGATTCTTCCAAGTTGTTGATGGTGCTCACCCCTCCTTGCCTGGCTGCCTCTCAAGCGCCTGCTCATGCTCCAGACTTGAGAGTCCCTGTTAGTATGCCCTCCTCTGGAAGCCTTCCCTTAGATCTCATGATTGCTCTCTCCTCCAAATGCCTGCCACCCATGTTTAGCCTAGTGCTGGGCCCCATGCTGTGCTACTTGGGATGCAAACACCCCCGGACTTCTTCACCAGATTTAAAGCAGATCAAGAGTGTATTTTGTCATCTCCACATGCCTTACGGTGTTGAGCATATGGTAGTGGCTCATTTAACAAACACTTGTTGAATGCCATGGTTCCTTAAAAGAGGGGGAGGTGCCAGTGCTTATATTTTGTTCAATTTTGCCTCTCCTGTCTTCCTTCCCAGACTCTGTACAAGCTCTTTAGTATGTGTGTCTTAAATTCTATGTAAACTATTATGCCATGGATTGCCACACAAAAACACTTTTAAAAATCAGAGAAAGGCTTATTGTTCCTTGGTACTTAATGTACTTCATATTTTTTTTGCTAAGCAATTGGACAACCAGCCTGTATACTGATTTATGAACTTGTTTTTTTCTGCCAAATTAGTGGAGGTAGAAATGTTAATTCAAATAGTTTTGTGTCAGTGGTCCTCTGGAGAAAAAGGGTATTGTGTTCTTTGTGAACCCAGATCTTCACCAGTATTTACCTGACCAGATGAATGGATGGACAGATGGACGATTGAATGCATGGACATGAAGTCACTGTGAGCAGCTCTCACTGGGAGCTAGGCATTGTCACTCCAGCTGCAGCATCCGGGCTGATGCTGCTTCTCACCAGCCAGAAATCTTGCCGCGAAGTGGGGCTTTCAGAGGAGAGTAATTTCTTTCTCTTTGAACAGGAACTGGCATCTTTCACAAAAAAGGAACACTGTACGTAACTTTAGGAAAAGCATCATCACTTTTAGATACATTCACTTAACAAAAAAATGTTTTACAGGGCTGGGTCTGTAATCCTAGCATGTTAGGAGACCAAGGTGGAAGGATGACTGGAGACCAGGAGCGTGAGACCAACCTGAGACCACATCTCTACAAAAGATTTTTTTTTAATTATCCAGGCACAGTGGTACACATCTGTAGTCCCAGCTACTCAGGGTGCTAAAGTGGGAAGATTGCTTGAACCCAAGAGGTTGAGGCTGCAGTGAGCTTTGATGGTGCCACTGCACTCCAGCCAGGGCAACAGAGTGAGACTGTTCCTCAATAAATAAATAAATATATATATATTTATGAATATACATGTTAATAAATAATATATATTTATAAATCTATCAATATAAGTATATCAATATTGATATATTGATTGATAAATTATTAAATATATCAATATTGATAACTATATATTTATCAATCAATATATTACTTATGTATTAATATTTATAAATAATATCAATATAAAATTATATAAGAATATATATTAATACATAAATACATATTGTTAAACATATAGTGTTATAATGTATATATTATGTTATAAATATATATATTGTTAATATAACATATTTATAAATATATTTTATATATTTATATAAATTTGTATTATATATTATAAACATTTATACATATATAATATATAGTTAAATATATAAATATATGTTAAATATATGAACATATGTTAATATATACATATATTTGTTTATAAGTATATATAAATGATATATATTTATATATTATTTATTAATACTTGCAATATAATTATATTAGCATTATAATGTAATTAGTAATAATTATATTAGTGGTTGGACTCAGGTGTTCCAGTTCATAGTTTTCAGGAATTATATCTAGGAACACCAGAATGATACCAGTAAGCAGCCCATGTCCAGTCTGAGCAAGTGGAAACGCACATGAAGGCTCTTACAGTGATCGCTCTCTTCCTCAGATCGTAACATACTTAGCCTTTTGTAAGAATGTTCTCCCCACTTTTAGAAAGCAAGTTCATATGGAATTTCAGCAGGAAGAAAAGACTTTAAAAAATGTAATACCAGTGTCAATTTAAAAATTCAGTGATGGGCTGGGTGCAGTGGCTCATACCTGTAATCCCAGCACTTTGGGAGGCCAAGGCAAGTGGATCATCTGAGGTCAGGAGTCTGAGACCAGGCTGGCCAACACGATGAAACCTCGACTCTACTAAAAATACAAAAAATTAGCCATTGCAGTGGTGGACACCTATAATCCCAGCTACTCGGGAGCCTGAGGTGGGAGAATTGCTTGAACCTGGGAGGTGGAGGTTGCAGCAAGCTGAGATTGTGCCATTGCTCTCCAGCCT